CAGTGGACTCAGTTGGTGCAGCTGGTGGCCTTTTGTGCATTTGGAACCCAGATGCCTTTCAAATGGTGGACTGTTGTTGCAACCACAATTTCATCATTCTGTCAGGTACTCTCTTTAACAATTTGGATTGTGTTGTTGTTAATATTTATGCCCCAATGATAGTACTAATAGAAGGAAGGTATGGGATACTTTGACTACATTAAAATCTCTGTATGATAAACCTTGGTGTTTAGGGGGAGATTTTAATGAAATTAGGAATATTTCTGAGAGGAAGGGATGCTGCAGGAGAGATAGGGGCATGCGTGATTTTAATGATTTCATTGACAACTTGGAAGTTTGTGACTTGCATATGATGGGGAGAAAATTCACATGGTGTAACTCTCAAGAAGGTGAGAGGTGGAGTAGGATTGACAGGTTTCTGTTAAGTCCAGAATGGGTGCAAAACTTTAATTTCAAACTTTGGGGCTTACCTAGGAGGTGGTCAGATCATTGTCCCATTCTTTTAATGGAAGATGATAGGGATTGGGGTCCAAAGCCATTTAGATTTCTAAATGCTTGGTCCCTACACCCTCAATTCAAATCCTTGGTGGATACTACCTGGGCTGAAACCATTGTTCAAGAGTGGGCTGGTTTCAAGTGTTTTAGGAAGCTTAAAGCACTTAAATTAATCCTCAAGCAATGGAACATTGAAGTCTTTGGAAAGGTGGAATCTAAACTCAAGCTTCTAGAACAAGAACTACATCTGCTTGATCTAACAGCTGAAGATAGACCGTTAACTGGATTAGAACTTGCTAGAAGAAGGGAGGCAAAAGGGGAAGTATGGAAGCTGACCAAAATGGTGGAATGGGTTTGGTTTCAGAAATCTAGAGTTAATTGGGCATTAAAAGGTGATAAAAACACTAAGTTTTTCCATATTTTGGCGGCCTCAAGAAATAGTAGAAATGCACTGTGTTCATTAAACGTTAATGGGACCATCAAGGAGGATCCTGAAGAAATAAGGGCTGAAGTGTTGCAGCACTTTAGGAATCAGTTCACTGAAACTTGGTTCAGAAGGCCAACTCTATCAGGTTCTTTCAAGTCTATTAGGGGTGATGCAATTAGGGATGCATTAGAAGCTGAATTCTCAGAAGCTGAAATTCTATCAGCAATCAAATCATGTGATGGAAATAAGGCCCCAGGGCCTGATGGTTTTAATCTGTTGTTTTTCCAAAAGTGTTGGCAGTCACTCAAAGGTGATGTATTACAATTCATGAAGGAATTCCATCAAAACTCTAAGCTGGCTCGTGGAATTAACAGTTCTTTTGTCGCCTTGGTCCCAAAAAATGATAACCCTTCTTGCCTTATTGACTATAGGCCTATTAGTCTCATAGGCTCTCTGTACAAAATTCTAGCAAAGGTTCTATCTAATAGGATCAAGCAAGTGATGCCTTTGGTTATTAGCGAGTCTCAATCAGCATTTATTGGAGGCAGAAATATTTTGGATGGAGTTTTGATTGCCAATGAAGTTGTTGATGGGTGGAAGAAGAATAAGATAAAAGGTTTTGTCTTGAAAATTGACTTTGAGAAAGCGTATGACTCAATAAACTGGGGGTTTCTTTTCTCTATGCTGTATAACTTTGGGTTTGGCTCTAAATGGATTAGTTGGATGATAGAGTGTGTGTCTTCAGCACATATCTCTATTTTGGTAAATGGATCACCAACAGTTGAATTTAAGCCTTTGAGAGGGCTTAGACAGGGTGATCCACTATCACCATTCCTTTTTAACATTGTGGCTGAGGGTTTAAACATCCTGTTGGGCAGAGCATTACAAATGGGTTTGATTAAAGGGGCAGCTGTTGGTGCTATTGGTATGAAGATAACCCACTTGCAATTTGCTGATGACACAATTCTGTTCTGTGAAGCTGATTGGGAAGAGGTACTCACAATAAAAAGGATCTTGAGATGTTTTGAAATTCTGTCCGGGCTCAAGATTAACTACCACAAGAGTGTACTCAGTGGGGTTGGGACTAATGAAGAGTCTCTTGTAGACCTTGCTGCTAAACTGAATTGTTTGCATAAAAAATTGCCACTCAAATATTTGGGTTTACCTTTGGGAGCTAATCCAAGGAGAAGAAGGACTTGGCAACCAGTACTTGACAAGTGTAAACAAAGATTGGCTTCTTGGAAAAGGAGATTCCTTTCATTTGCAGGTAGGTTGACGTTAATTAAGTCTGTGGTATCTTCTTTACCGGTTTATTACTTATCTCTGTTTAAGATGCCAGAAGGGGTTGCAAATGAGTTTGAGAAAATTCAGTCTAGATTCTTATGGGGTGGTGATGAACTTAGGAGGAAAATTCACTTGGTTAAATGGGGAGAGATCACTCAAAGTAAAAGTCAAGGAGGTTTAGGAATTAGAAGGGTGAGATTATGGAATAATTGTCTTCTGTTGAAATGGTGGTGGAGATTTGGTGTTGAAGATAATGCACTTTGGAAACAAGTGATATGCTGCAAATACCCTGAGATTGGCAGAGGTTGGTGGCCTTTACCAGTCGAAAAATTCAAGTTGTCTATGATTTGGAGAGATATTGCGGGTGTGGCTAGCTTGTGCCCCCAGCTGGTGAATTTTTTCAAGCAAAACATAGTGCTGGACATTGGTGATGGAAGGAGAACAATGTTCTGGACTGACACTTGGATTGGGAATATCTGCTTAAAAGATGAATTTCCCAGACTCTTCTCTGTGTCTCTGGACAAATCTGAGTCTGTGGCAGGGATGAGGAACAGGGGTATGGGTCTTCAAGAATGGAAGCTTAATTTCAGAAGAGCCTTATTTCAGTGGGAAGTGGAAGAGTTGGGGAGGCTGAATTTGATATTGCTTAATGCTCAATTAAGTTTGTTGCCTTTTATTTGTCTACTTTTTGATCAAATAGGTATGTCAGTGCTGTTATTTCTGACCGAAGGTTCTGATATGGCTACCTCTTTAGTGCAGCCTTGTCTTGGTGTTGGTTTGGTAGGGCAATCTGAGGGCCTTACATCTTGGTGCTGCAGTTGTTCAGTTACAATCTGAGGGCCTTAGTGGTTTTGTTTTTAGTTCATCTCTCTTTTCCTGTTGGTTTCTCACCAACTTTTCGGTGGTGCTAGCAGATGATTGGGTATCCTCCTTAGTGCCAACCTAGTTGGGATTGAGGGGGGTATTGTGATGCTTTTTGCACTTCCTTTCTTTATTGATGATTTCCCATATGTAATGTATGCTTGCTCATCAATAAAGTTCTTTTTGCTGATCAAAAACTCACTTTAACTTTGATATATCTCCATCTGAAAAAAAAAAAAAAAAAACAAACAAACAAACAAACTTTGATTTGTTAAATTTGTTTGGAAAATTTTTGAAAATATATTTGGACGGGCAATCATTTTTTCTGTACAAAATTAAATAGCTAAACTTTTTAAAATATTATTTTGTATATTTCACCTCCACAATGACGTGGACAAATAATATTCCAACACTTTTACAAAATATAAATGGTTAGAAAAATGATATAAAAGTTAACTTTTTAAAATTGTTTTTAAAAAAGATTTGGATTCTTTTAAGTAGATCATCTCAATTTGAGAGAGTCTTTGGGCTTGCTAGGCCTATTTTGGGTCCGATCTCAGTAATCTAAATTGTTTATTTTTTAGTATTCGTTGGATAAAATATTCATCTAAAAAATTAAGATGATCGGTTAGATATCGATAAAAATATGTTTAAATCTTGTTTGGTTTAGTTTTTCAGGATTTTCTTTTTAGAAAATTAAAAAAAAAAAAATCATATTTTTTTTTTTGCTTTCACTGAATTTTTTTAAATATTCTAAGCTTTTCTTTTTTTTTTTAAATTTAGATACACCTAACATAAATACACTTAAAAAGTATAATATTTGTGGATTTTTTTTTATAGAAAATTCAAATACCAAAAATAAAAAAATAATAATAATAATAATACAAGAATTCAATACATTTTTTGTATTCTTGTGTATTTATTGATTTTTTATACATATTTTTCTTTTTAGATACATCTAAGTAAGGCGTATCTAAAAAAGTTAAAAAATTACTTAAAATTTTAAAAATATTCACTAAAAATAATTTTAAAAAACACAAAAAATAGAATGGTGGTTCTACATGCACCAATTAGTGTACTAATTAATGTACCAACACTAGTTATGACATTATTATTTATCCTCCTCATTATACAAATTACAAATATAAAAGACAGGACATTATTATTGATTTTACTCATTATACAAATTATAAATACCAAAAACATCTTAAATTATACCAAATCATCAATTAGTACACTAATTGGTGCATATAACATTATTCAAAATAAAAAAACTTAATTTGTAGAAAATTAAATTCCAAAAATTGAAATCAAACATATTTGTATTACAAAAAATGAATAACTATTATTGGAATTATAATTGTTGTCCTTTTTTTTTTTTTACATAAATGTAATTTAAATATAAAAAATGAATAGTTCGGATCATGAGGTCGGCTCCAAAATGGGTCCACCAAGTTCAAACACTAAGAAATTATTCAATACTCCTAGAGCATTGTTCCCTTCCATTTACATGTTAGATATATCATCAGTTGTCTCTTATAATTCTAACACAAAAGTGGTAGGTTTTATGCTTTAAACCAATAATTATTACTTTAGCAATACTCCAAGAGTATTGAATAATTTCTTTTTAAATTAGATAACCAACCTGAGAGAATCCAATTTTTTTTTTTAAACTTAATCATATATAATTAACTAATAATTAGAGAATGAATGAAAAAATGAATTGCTTTAAATATTTAAATATATTATCATATTATGAAATTTTAAAAAAAAAAATTGAACTATTAAATTAGAGTAATATTACCCAATATAAATCAACTTCAAACCTTGTCCAAGTCTAACTAACATGTGGCCTAACAATTTCGATGCTAATCTTCCACGTGTAGATTCGATTCATGTGTGTCTTGCAAAATGCATCATATATTATCGTACTTCCACAAGTTAATTATCTCCTCCCAACCAAAACACAAAAAAAATAAATAAATAAATATAAAAAAGAAAAAAGAAAAAAAAAAAAAGAAGAGGATAGGAAAAGAGAGTGGAAGAGTGGAGGTAGGGAGCGGGTAGATCTTGGGTGTTGCGAGGTCATAGTCTGCCATCTTTACGTGGGACCCGGCACCGATTCCTCTCCTCATCACCCTCCAGCTCTCTTCGGCACGTTGGCACTCTGTCCACCATATCTCTCTCTCTCTCTCTCTCTCTCTCTACCCACTCTTTCTCTCTCCTCCCCCCTATCCATCTATCCATCTATATCTATCTTTGGTTTGAGTATGTTATTAATACCCTAATCCCCTACTATCATCCCTTTAACCCCAACTCACCCCAACCCAGATGTCCTTTCTTCCCTCACATTCTATAACTTTTCTACTCACAACAATTACAATTATGATCAACTTTTGCGTCAAAAGCGTACACTCTTTGCTCAATTTCGCTAACTCCAAGGACAACAACAATGGAACAGTAGTTGAAACCCCCCCTCGCCACCACTGCCAGAATCTTGCATCTCCGGTCACCGGCGGCCTCAGTTTCGTCGCTCTCACCGCCGACAACATCCACCGACCCACCAATGTCGTTGAGTCCTCCGCCGTCAAATCACCATCACCACCTTCCTCTCCCAGTGCTACCACCGCCGCTGCCGTGAAGATAGGGTTTCTTGATAAGGTGGGAGGAAGCGTGGACGGGCTGATGTTGTGTACCGAGAGTTTAGGGTTTGAAAGCTCCGATGAGTGGAGGGTTGATGACAAGATTGAGAATATTAGCGACGATGTGGTGAATTCGATGACGACGACGACGATTCGGCCAAAAAGGAATAGAATGGGATGGAGGAGTGAGGTGAAGAATTTTCCACCGCCATTATCGTCGATGAATCAGAACGGAAACCCGATTTTCTATCTCCGGCCGGTGAGGAGAGACGGGAGGTTAGAGCTCATGGAGGTGAAGATTGAACGGCTTGAGGTTTTACGTGCCTCCCGCGAAGATGGACGGTTGAGATTATATCTCATTAGAGATATAGATGTTCAAGAAGAAGAACAAGTAGAGGAAGAGGAAAAGATTGAAGAAGTTATTGAAGAAGAAGAAGAAGAAGAACAAGTAGAGGAGGAGGAGGAGGAGATTGAAGAAACTATTGAAGAAGAAGAAGAAGAAGAAGAAGAGATGAGTGGGAAGTGGGTATTTCCGGTGAAAAGTGGCGATGGAGATGGTTTTCGAAGGTGTCATGAGCTGGTTCACCACCACCACCACCATAATCTGCATGGGTGGAGCCAGCACAGTGTGACGATAAGATGAGATTAATAAGGTGGTCAGATGACGTGTCTGTGAATATGGATGATATATACACAATTTGAATGCATTTTTGTTGCTAAATTTAGCAGAGCTGGCAAGGGTGGTGAATTGGCAATAGTGGAAAGAAAGATACATACATGGTGGATTCTGTCTTTTTCAAGTCTTTGGAATGATACCATAGGAAAGGAATCCACAGAGCAATACATCAGATGAGAGAGAGAGAGAGAGAGTGAGGGAGAGAGAATTTGGAAGCTTTTACAACAATCAATGTTAATTTGTTACGCAAGATTTAATTTTTGAAAAAAAAAAAAAATTTGTTTTCTCATGTTACTAAAAGTAGAAGTATATAGGGGAATGCACCAATAAATCTCAAATTAATAACTTATACACTGTTTAGTCCTAAAAATTTTCTTATAGACTGAAAGGTTCCATTACAATGTTTCAAACATCAGATTAATATTTCGAACATTAAATTTCGAACATCAGATTAATGTTGCGAACATTAGATTTCGAACATCAGATTAATGTTTCGAACATTAGATTGATGTGCAAATGGGACTAAATGGAGCATAAGAAAACTTTTAGGACTAAATGGTTCAACTTTTCAGAAACTAGGACTTATGGGTAAATTTTCCAAGTATATATTCCAAAACTAGGGATTGTATGTGAAAATTTAAAAAATTTGGGATATTGATTTGTAATTATATTTCAATTTAAAATAGTGAATAACAATTTTAATTAAATAATTAAGACAAATTGGCACAATTATTTAATATGAAAAAAATCACAATTGAAACATCACTAATTATGATAAAAAAAAATCATAGGTCAAAATAACAAAATAATCCACTAAGAAGACAAAAGCAGGAATTACACAAGAGTACTCTAAATTATCAAGCGAATACACGCCCGAATTGAATCAAACTCAATGTACCTCTTTTACCACCGTATTCACCTCAGTATTGTCTTGCCTCATTTTAAATCCACAACACCGATGTTAAATCTACGACAATGAGCCATTCCAAAATCCACTAAAGTTTCAGACTCAAATTTTTTGAAATCCACCGAAGAAACACCTCTCTCTTTATGTAAATAAACAAATAAAATCAACTATTGATGTGTGATACTTTGTTGTTCGTTGATCAATCGATAACCTTTTATACATTAAGGAAAGTCATATAAAAATATCTTTCAATGTAGAACACTTTGTATTTTTCTCATCTCTGAAAATCTAGACGTGTTAATCCTTAAAAAAAGCAAACGACACACTTTACAAAAAATAGAACCGTGAAGACCGCTCGAGTGCACATTTCACCGCTCGAGCGGTGTGAGTAAAGGCGGTGCAAAACATATAAGCCGACCACTCGAGCGGTAAAACAAAATTTTCAGAAGTTCTGAATGCAAGCTAAAATACTGGACGATCCACTTCACGCTTGAGCGCAGCAATGACTACTCTCAAGATATGAAATGTCAATACAAACTCCTCTGCATATGCATAATTCGAGTTAAATTCGCATTTAAACACTCACTACAAGAATCTACACTTTTAGCGACCACTTTCCGCGACCAATATAAAAGTTGGTAGCTAAAAATTATCTTTTGGCGACCAAATATTTATTAGTCGCGAATGATCATTATTTTTGGGGATCAATATGAGTTGGTTGCATAAGGTCATATTTTGGCGACCAAAAAATGAGTTGGTCGCAGAAAGTGATATGCTTTTGGCGACCAACTATAAATTTGGTCGCGGAAGGTCACATTTTGGCGACCAAATAATAAGTTGGTCACGAAAGATAAAAAATAAGTTGGTTGTGGAATTGGCGACCAGCTAAAAATTATCTTTTGGCAACCAAATACTTATTAGTCGCGAATGATCATTATTTTTGGGGATCAATATGAGTTGGTTGCAGAAGGTCATATTTTGGCGACCAAAAAATGAGTTGGTCGTAGAAAGTGATATGCTTTTGGCGACCAACTATAAATTTGGTCGCGGAAGGTCACATTTTGGCGACCAAATAATAAGTTGGTAGCGAAAGATAAAAAATAAGTTGGTTGTGGAATTGGCGACCAAAATTTTAGTTGCCAAAAACTTATTTTCCCCGACCAAAAAATACTTTAGTTGCCGTATATTGAGTTTTGGCTACTAAAACAATTTAGTCGCCGAATGGAAAATAAAAAATTATTTTTTTCTTTGGCGACCAAAAATTTGGTCACTAAAAACTTATTTTCAGCAACCAAAAAAAATCAGTCGCCAAATTAATAGATTTAGCGACGAATATTTTAGTCGCCGTTGATTGAGATTTGGCAACTAAAAAGATTTGGCGGTGAAGGTACCTTTTTTGCGACTAATCTAGTATTTTCGTCGCCAAATATTAATGAATTTTTTTTACTTTTGATCTTTGCCAACCAAGAATGTGGTCGGCAAAATACTTAGTTTTAGTGACCAAAAAACAATTAGTCGGCAATAAAGTTAAACAATTTCAAAAACACAGATTTATTTTTTGGTGGGAATATACTCTTACATTACCGCCCAATTTATTAGTTATGATTTATTTTATTTATTTTTTCTCTTACATTACCGCCCAATTTATTAGTTATGATTTATTTTATTTATTTTTTCATATTTTCTATCAATATGTACATAGACCCAAACAAGTTTAGTCTCTTGCTCTCTCTGTCTCTCTCTCTCTCACAGACTCACCATCGTTGATTCACCGTTCACAATCACCGTCGGTCTTCCACCGTCGTTCACCCTCGATCTTCCACTGTCACGCATCATTACATCGCAATTGCCGCTCGCATTGCTTCGCTTCAACATTGAGGTTTTTCTCTTCCTCTCTCTACTTCTCTTCTTCTCTTTATCTTTGTCCCTCTCACTCTTTGTTTCTTTATTTCCCCATTTCCCTCCACCTTATTTTCAGTGAAACTGGGCTGAAGCCCGTCTGGACGCTTAGCAAGATTCAACTTAGCCAACCCTAAACCTCTCAACTCACACACATTCACCTCATTCACCATATATATTTATCATCTTCTCCAAAACAGCTCTCATAGGTCTTGGGTTTCTTGCAGTTGTGCAACAATGGTAACCTCTCTCTCTCTCTCTATACATACAAATATATGTGTAGCTAATTTCGAATTAGATTTAGATTTTGATTTAGATTTCTTTCAATCTTGTTTTCAATTCTAACCTCCTTTGCTAATGGAATTAATTATTGTTCTCGCCTCCTTTGCTAATGGACTCCTCAAAAGTCATATCGTGAGTATATTCCTTCTCCACCGTGAACAACCACCATCAGCCCTCTTTTCCCTTTTACCCCTGTTTCTCCCCCCTCCCTTTCTCTATATATATACTATATAATTGTTATATGAATTTGGCTATGGCGAGAGTATGTGGATGACCTGTTCGATGAAATTCCAAAATGGGTTTTGAATTAGAGAAATCATGATAGTCTGTTGGATGAGCTGGGTTTGGACTGATTGTCTTTTGATTATATTAAAAGATGTTGGAAATAAGAAGAATACAACGAATGTTAAAATTATATAAGCAGTATGAATTTATTGCTTTATAGTTCTGTTTAGCTTGGGGTGGACAAGTTAGGTGAATATAAATTATTCTTATATTGCTGGTCATTTTTTGGGTTTTTTTTTAGCTTCTATTGGTTATTAGAAAAAGAGTAATAGACATGTTCACCAGCCAATGTTCTAACAGCACTTAACATGGGAAAATGTGTTCTACACATTTGACCTGCTGTGATTTTGTCTTGTGAATTGTAATGTAAAATTTCATCTAGAATGATGATTTAAGTTTACATTTAAAACTTTAGGAAATTTTCACATGCCCGATATTTCTTTAAAATTCTGATTAACTTTTGGAGCTATTCTTATTTGGAAAAAGAATTATGGTGTAGTGCCTATTATTTACCCATTGGCTGGTATAGAAATTTTTTCAAATATAGCACCATACTCTTGTTTACAGTTGAGCACATGTTTTGACTAATCAAATAAGAATTATGGTGTAGTGCACATGTTTTGACTAATCATGTTTTGACCATATAATTACTATGCAAACCAAAGATCCCCTATACTAATCTGCAATCTACACTATGATGCATGGGTGGAAAACTTACCCCATCAGAAGCAAGAACAATGAACTTATCTCTTTCCGTAAGAATCCGGTGAGAGAATTCGGGAATAGAGATCACCCCATATTCCTTTAAACAGGAGTCCCCAAATGCCTGAGCCATTGCTACGCCAGGGGCATCATCAAACGGCAGCCAAACTCTTGACACTTCAGGTTCATCTTGCAACACAAAAACCCTTCCTTTACACCGTTTAATCCTTTCGGCTTCCCCTATTAATAATCACCCCAAATTGACACAATTAGGACTTGAAAACAAACAGCCCAACAGTTGAGCACATGTTTTGACTTGAGATTGTAAACAAGAATTATGATGTAGTGCACACATTTTCAAATATAATCCCATGATTAGCTCATTTCTAAATAATGTTGTTGTTGTTGTTGTTGTTGTTGTTTTTATTTATTTATTTATTTATTTATTATTATTATTATTATTATTATTTCTCCATATTTTAAAACTTGAACTCTTTCCTTCTTTTTTTTTATGAAGCAAAATTGTCATCTGGTACCGAAACTGTGAGCAATTTTTAATTATGGTTCTTAATATGAACATACAAGGGCTTATGTTGGTGAAACTGCTTGTCAACAAGTATCATGCATATGGTTGTCTTAAATATGGTTTGAGTCCCTGTTCATATGAGGTTTGTATCATTGTCATTGAATTAATAATAAAAAAATTTGTAGCTATTTCAGTGTCGTTTAACCTGGTAGCTGTTTCAATGTCAAATCTGTTTGTGACATGGCCTCTTCAGATTTTTGATCTTTGGATCTGTTGTCTTTTAGAATGAGGTTCTTTGGCTATTTGGCTATCCTATTTGTTTTCTCTTGAGGTCTTTGTTTCTATTGACTCAAAGGTAAGCAATGAAAGATAGCAAGAACCCTAACACGATGGTCAGATGCAACTTGATGTGAGCATTACTGCATTATCTGCTATTACAGTGTGGGTTTAAGGCAGTTGATGGTTCAATGCATTACTCTATCCTACTTGTAGTTGACTCATGGGATTGATGTCCCTGAAAATTGTAGTTATTGGTTAATTTTGTGCCAATGTATTGTGTAATTCTGTATAACATTAATTTCATTAGACATCGATTATTATTTTATTGATTTTTCCCTCGAGAACATTTGTTAGTGGTATAATTCTTTAAAAACATCCATGACAAACTTAAGCACATTTTTTATTGACAAATACTAAATC